TTCCAGGATTTTTCTCCATATAGTGGACTTCAATGGTGGCCAACGGGCTGAAGGTCCAAATTGCAGTTTCAATGTAGCCAAGGAATAAGGGTCTTATATAGTGAAACGATCTGTCATTTTCTTAAAAAAGATAAAACATTTATATACTTTTTAACCAGAAATGCTCATGTTGCACTAGCTTGACTTCACGCATTACATAATCACGCTGGAAAGGTCACGCGTGACGTAGGTGGCAGTACCGACCCAGTGTTTACAAAGCGAACGTGCAAAGAAAGTCAAACGCCCTTTACAAAAAAAGGTAAAACAACGATGTCGGACGATTTTGAAGTTGGAGGAGAAAATGAGATGGAGTTTTTCACCCTACCCTACCTTTTTGAACCAGAGTACACAGACGAAGAGCTAACCTCGCGTGACCTTTCCAACGTGATTATGTAATGCGTGAATTTGCGGACGCGCATTGCGGAGCTAGTACAAGACAAGCATTTGTGGTTAAAAAGTATATATATTTTTTTTATTAGAAAATGACCGATCGTTTCACTAAATAAGACCTTATTCCTCGGCTGGGATCGTGTAGAGCCCTTTGGAGCTGCATTGAAACTGCAATTTGGACCTTCAACCTGTTGGGTCCCATTGAAGTCCACTATATGGAGAAAAATCCGGCTTATCTAGCGAAATGATCAGTCATTTTCTTCAAAAAATAAAAAATTATGGCCACCATTGAAGACCATTATATGGAGAAAAATCCCGGAATGTTTTCCTCAAAAACCTTTATTTCTTTGCGACTGAAGACAGAAAGACATGAACATCTTGGATGACATGGGGGTGAGTAAATTATCAAGAAATTTGTATTCTGGAAGTGAACTAATCCTTTAATTGATGAACTGTAGTCTTGTGGATTATTGAAGGCACCCATTCACTTCAAGGATCCATTGGTGAGCAAGTGATGTAATGCTAAATTTCTCCAAATCTCTGAAGAAACAAACTCATCTACATCCTTTACATTGGATGGTAAAGGATAGTAGTTTTTTTTTTCATATTCCTTTAAGGCTTTCTAAATCTAGCATGGCATATTCAAGCAGTTCAACATTAATCTGGTCCATATAGAGTGACATGGAGGACCTACATTCTTCTCTCAGAAAAATATTAGGGTTGTGTTGAGACAAAAGGGTCCACCCCCATCCATCCAGTGTGGTGGTGTGAAACTGGGGTTCAATCATGTGATCTTATGCTTACAGTGGAAGTAATGCAACTACCCCTGATGGAATCAGCCAGTCTAAAGGGGTCTTACAACACCTGGAGCCCCCATTTGGAACTGATAACTGTTCAGCCTGGGATTCTGGTAAAAAGGTGAATGGATTAGCACAGACCGGGACAGTTATCATGTACTTAAACCTCCCATACTTCCTCCTGCCGCCATATTACAAACAATCTTTTAGTTGCCATCTTTCTTTTTTTTGCCATGCACCTGCAAAACCATATTAGTGAAGAAATCTTCTTCACTTGAA